AAATTTCTTCTGTTTTTCAAAATATGTGCTTTTACTTTTATCAATGGATAGGTCCATACCATTTAAGTTAAGAATTTGTAAAAAAGGTGTCTGCATGTGTCTCTTGAAATTATAATGGATAGTGATTCAGGTGCGAGTTTGATCATGAATATACTGCGAAACTTTAAGTGCTTCGCGTTAACTCTGCAACACAGTAAAATTTCAAACGATGATGAACTCTGCGTTTATTTTCAATTAACAATGGTAATTTCCACTCTTATCCTGGTACGTTTGAGATAAAAGATACCACATAGTCTGATATATTTGTTTCATATTTCGATATTTTACTTGAAAAAGACTTAATGGTAATCTAACAACTAAGCTATATAATACACCAGATGATTTTTTTAACTTTTCTATTGTCAACTTTGCTTACTAATGCAGCAATATAACTTAATCACATGCATACAGAGTTTACATATCTCAGTTGATTCGATATGCAAGAGTGTGTTCTTCGTACATACAATTTCAAAAACGAGGTAAATTATTGACAAACAAGCTGATGAATCAAGAATATCGATAGTCTCGTTTAAAATCATTTCATAAGTTCTATGGTCGATACAATGACCTTGTCAGCAAATACAATTTATCATTGAGTCGAATGCTGACTGACTTTCTTTATACCAATTGTTATTCCATAATTTATACACTGAATTGGCGACGGATTTTTCCATTATTTCCCGATCGTAACAGGAAGCACAAGGCGAGTGTGACCGGACGGCAGGGGATGCTCCCTCCTCCATGGCACCTGATTCCACCTATGATGTTTTGGGGGTCCGTGTTTGCTCTGCTCCTATTTTGTATTATTTATGGACTTTGATGTTGAACACTGTACAATATCTCCATATCCTTCATATGCCACCTATCGGACCGCACCAAACCACGGTCAAAATATGGTACTTTATCAGGCCAATTGGACTAACTATGATTAACTCTCAACAACATGTGGCAAAGTCTTTCAGACATTGAGAAATCCAAAGGTCTGTGTGGATTATCGGTTCTTGTGAGAGTTTTCTGGTCTTCCATTTTGTTAAAAGATTTTGCAGAAATTTGCATTAAATTTTAATGGTTTTGTTAATGCATGTGCTAGTTTTATTTTCATTTTGTTGTTTTTATATTGTTTTGAAAATTGATCTTATTATAAGTAAGTATATTGAAGCATAAGTTATTAGAATGTTTATTTTATAAGGCACCCAAACTATGTCGGGATTTTTTAAAGTTTTTTTTAAGTTTGAAATATGACTTTTAAACCCTGAACAAATGGCTCCAGTTTGATTCAGCAAATATTGATAATATATAAAAGTTTTGTCTTTCAAAATCCAAAAAAATAAACCCATAAAACACGGTTTCCTAAAATGAAAATATATCTTAGTTCTTGCTCTTGTGTTTTTGATTTTGGTTTTATTTTAGAGAATTAATGTAGTAAGTATTTTCACACAGATGCGTTATCTTTATTGACGCACCTTGAGTACTTATAAGAAAAAAATCGAACTTGTTGTTATTATGCTAAGAGATTATAGATCCTACATTCAGAGAATTACATGCATAGGCATCTGAAGTAAATTGAAAGTGTTGAGGGGGGGGGGGGGCTAATTGAAAGGGGGGCTAAACCAACAAAAAAGTAAACCCAAACTTTCTATGCTTTCATTTCAAATTATTTGTCTCTGTTCTTCCATCTTCGAAAGAAAACTTCGGGGGTTAGGCCCCGATTCCGACAAGACCTATAACATAATAGCTGTTAGCCCCCCAATAAATGATTATAATTATACATAGTTTTCAGGCACCGATGTATCTGATGATATACTCTCGTACTGATCAATTTTATCAACATATTGAAAAGTTAAATAAATCAATTTTGATTCGTTTTCCTCCAAGTTGAAAAAGGGAAATTGAATAACGCCCCTTTGCATACATGCTATTGATAGGAAAATGATTTTACTGCAAAACTTTTTCCGCATTAAAATGGTACTATATGGATTATTTGTTTTACTAAAAGCCTTTTGGTATAACAATATTTAAAGTTAAAAGGTTAATGAGGAATGAGAGTTCTTTATCGTACCAACGTCTACCACAACATGGAACATATATTTTAAGATCATATCTGAATATGTTTAATGAAGAACACTTCCACATTTTTTATGTATTTAGGCGTGAGATCGATTTTTCCAAGTCCAACTTTTACGTTTGCAACATATTTCAACCATAGTTTATAAAATTAATTTGACTACTGATTTGCTTCAGACAAAAAGTAAGCATTCGATTAAACAAGAGGAGTCACGAAGGATCTGACAGACCAACTAGGAATGCTATCTCCGGTTAGACACCTGATCACTTCTCTGATGTTTCTAACTGTGTGTTGTTTGCTCTGTCCACGAATCAGTTGAATTAAATTGATAATTATTCGTTATCTTCACCTTTTAATAACTTAATTTATTAATCTTATAGATATTGAAGGGTTCAATACGCCCAGTCAGCAAGTCCTGTGGTAGAGTGAACACTGGTTGATTTAGGTTTCCACCATTGGTATCTTCACAATATCTTAATTTTTCACAAAATGATAAAACTAGATTTAGGTGTTTACTAGTCATATGTTACAAAATTTCATTTAAATTTCTTACAGTCATTATTACCAGGATTACTAATTTTGATCTGAACTAGTCCAAAAGTATGACTTAATATATGAATAATGATGTCCGTCCTCTAGTGCAAGTATAGGATATCCCATGATTTATTGTTGGATATGCTTTTTATCCGACGAGTGCTGTGTGCTTTTTTTTTTTATCCCCGAGCCTTGGTAATTGATCAATACATGACACACAACGGTTGTGACATGGGATGACGACTCCTCCTTTGTACCTTATCTCATCTCTGGAATTTCCAGAGGTCCTTGTTAGTGTTCTTCGTACAGATTTTTATTGTTTTAATTTTTTGGGAGATCGATTATTGTATCTTTACACTTTTTCAGTATAACCAAATTAAGGTCTCTACTTGTGCCTGGGAATTAGTAGCTTTAAGTTTCCACTAATCATAAGGTGTCTACTATACAATTGCCCGTAACCCACCAAAAATTGTGAAACAATCAATAAAGAAGTCTCCTATTTACATTCTCTCCTCGTATGTATGATGATGTATCATCGTAAGTCTCTTCTGGTGGTTTCCCCATTTCGAAATGAAAACGCATAAGTTCCTATCAGTGTTTTGTTTTATTTTATTTTATTCTATTTTTTTTTCATTTCGACATTTCCCTTGTTCAATAAATCGGATTAAACAACAGTATCTATGATCAAAAAGCAATGAAGTCTTTCAATTTTCATCTAAAGATTGAAAATTGCCGTAAAATTTTGTCTTTTAAAATATTTGGCAATAATACGCCTTTTTACGATGCTTTTGATATTTTTTTTTTCATTCTAACAAAATACATTTTAAAACGTGACGCGGCGATACCCCTTATGTTTAATGTTTTAAACGTCTATAAAATTAATTCCATAAAACATTTTGAAATGAAAATTTCAATTTTGAATAGATTAATGTTATTTTATCTTTTGGTACATTATATTTGATAAAAGACGGCAAATATTAAAAATATGGACACAGTGACATTACTTTTGGATCAACCCTCGTACATGTAAAATATTCATGATTTTATTATAAAAAGCACAACTTTTTGAGAACTTTACAATATTGTAAGCAATTAAACAACAGATATATATTTTAAAACATGAAATGGGCTAGCAGTAGTACTGAAACATAAGAATATTTTACAAGGATTGATCCAAAAGTAATGTTCTAAACACTTTAAAATCTTCAAAATTCGAAAATATTCCTCAAAAATTTAGGTCTATTAATCATTCATATATAGGCATTACTTTATGAAATATATGGAGATAACGAACAATATTCAAGGTCAAGTCTATAAAACAATTCAAAATAGGAGCAGAGCAAACACGGACCTCTGAAACATCACATGTTGGATCAGGTGCTATGAAAGAGTGAACATCCGCTGCCGACCGGTCACATCCGCCGTGTGCTCCTTGTCATGATTGGCATAATAACAGAGAAATCCGTTGACAATTCAGTGTGTAAATGGACCATTAAGTAGTCCGAAAAACGTCAGTCGGCTTTTGACTTAATGATAAGTTGTAATTACTGTCAAGGTCATTATATCGACAATAGAACTTTTTAACGAGACTAGTACGGCTGATATTCTTGTTTCATCAACTTGTTTGCCAATAATTAACCTCGTTTTAGAAATTTACTTAGGTAGAACATGCTCTTGTTCATCGAATCACCTCGAATATAAACTCTGTATACAGGTGACTATTACTGCATAGGTAACGGAAATTGACGATTGAAAAGTTAAAATTAATACGTTCACCAATGAGCTTGATTGTATATATAATATATAATTTATCATGAAATATTAAAATAAACGCAACTTTGGGTCTCCTTTATCGCCACTTGCCATGTGGCCTTAAAGTAGACATTTAGATATAACGGCGATGTTTTCCTTTCATTCATGCGTCGATTCGGTACATATCATTGTGCTCAGGAAAAAGATACCTAATATTCTTTACATCTGATTCATATCAAAATGTCGAGCTGAAGGCCACGACAAGTGTTTTTTGTCAAACGGAAAAAAAAAACGGTTCCATTGGTAGATCTCAGCAAGCCGATATGCATAACTCATTTTTGACCATTTTTAAACACAGAATCTTATGATTTTAAGGCGAGGAAAAAATTATTGTAAATGCTGAGTAAACATAAATCGTATAGAAATGCTGGCACTCATGTTTTTATTAAACGTTAAGTATCAATATCAGAATAAATATCAAAGGTCTGTTAATACTTTAAGTTACTTTGATCTTATCATCCTCTGAGACAGTTTTAATGCTTTTTCTTTAGAGTCCTTCCATTTTCTCCATATCATGTATTCATGACCAGACAATTCAGTCTGTGCATACTTTCCATTAAGGTTGGCTTGGTAACAGAAGTTATACCACCAGGCCCCATGCCATGCTCTGGCACAGTTACCAGCACCCCCGTCATTGTCCTGGTCTTTATTGGTAAATTTCATACCATTGTGATCAGCCAAACCGTCACCTAGATCATTGCAATGAAAAACACTGAAGTTTACTTATCATTAAGAAAATATCTATGACGTAATGTAACACTAGTGACCATTGTAGTCATCCGAGTCTAGGTCTTCATGATACATCTTTTAATGAGTCATCCTCTGTTCTCTTTTACGAAATTGAAACTTGTCATATATAAATGTTTTTTGGCCAAAATATCTAAAGTATGATTGATATGTAAACGATCTATATGTAAATTTGAAACTCGATTCCACAATCTTTCTGCAAACCATCCATTTCGACACTCTCCGTGTATATACGTTACACTCTATGCATTTTCCTTCATTTATTGTCAATATAAATAGGCATTTATAACTTGTTGGTGACGGAGATAGTGGTCCCCCATGTATTCTGTTTTATTTACATTCTGGTTCTCTTCCCTGCTTTTTCTAGCTGTAAGGTCGAGCAATAACAAACTCCACAGTTGCACCCCAGACTCCCACATTTTCGACAGATTTGATTTTGTGCATGTAATGTTCTTAATAATCTTTTGGGGAAGATGACCCTTCCTCTCCTACACTTACTTTTTGAAACGTTGGTAATATTAACATGTCGATGTCGACATTATCATATCGGTATCGACATTATCATATCGGTATTATCATATAGATATCATATCGATATCGATTCTGACTAGAACCATAAATTTGAAATACTGGATACCATATGTGAGTCAAAGTGCTATGTCCATGTTGTCGATATTGACAATTTCATGATGATATCATATTGATACCGATTCTGATATAAATTATTTATTTTAAGAATTGAGTTATAACATAGTTATACGATGCAATATTGCCGATATCGACAAGATCGATATCAAAGGGAAAACTTAACAAATAATATTAAGGTTTATCACCAGATTTGATAGAGACACGATATAGTGGATGTTAATAGTGAGGAAAGTTTCGTAAAACATGAAATATTCTATTATACACACAAGTACAAAGAAACATTAAAAATAATCTGTCGATATCGGAACTGCGTCGTATCTTGAACATAACTCATACATAGGCAGATCACACGACTCACCCGCCGTTTCTCTGTATCCAGACACTGTCAGAGTATATTTATTGTCTTCATCCCCGATGTAAAAATTGGTATACACTGCGTAGGCCTTTTTGTCCGTTTTGCCTCTGGAGATCAATGCGGAGTTTTTTGTTTTTATCCTTTGTTAAGGCATGGATTGCATCATTCCCTTTGAAAAAGGTTTGTACATTAGATAATTGACAAGCTTAAAAACGTCTCTTCTTTTTTTCATTTTTTTTTTCATGCAAAACTACTGTCTGTGTATTATGTAAATCACCTTCGTACGGACTTTATGTCACAATTGGTTCAATGCGCAAAAACAAGCTCTACGTATGAACAATTTCTAAAAAGAGGTAAATTCCCAGATAGCAAGCTAACGTTGGGCCAATGCCAGCCCAACGGTGAAAATTACGTTGGTCCTCTGTCAGTTTTATTTGTTGGCCCGACATCATCTTGCTCATCGGCCCACCGTTCAACCAACAAGTTGGCTTGACGTTGGGCCAACATTTGAAGGTTGGTAATCTGACATTGGTCCAACAGTGGCCCAATGTATAACTTCTTGTTGGCCCAATGTTGGTTCAATGTTATTTATGTTGGACAGACGTTGGCCGTATTTGGCAAATTATTTACGATTCACTTATTTCTTAATTAGTAACACAATATGATTCCAGTTCTGCGACATTTTTTATTTCCATAATAACGAGTAAATCACAATTAATATATTAAATCCTGTATGGATAAATAACTAGTTCTTCAAACAAATGTTGTTTTTGTCACTCCTGTATAATGAAACCAATACATGTAACAGGAAGGTGGTTCAGAGTCTATCCAATATCACTACATTTACAACCACTCTTACATGGGATCCGGTGTTCAAATATGTGACACTTTGGAATCGTTCACTCCTTTTTTCCTTGTTCATGTTATTATTTCTTTGTCTATAAAATCCATGTCCCCCACACAGTTAAATCACTCACTGCATGTCCAGTAAATTCCATACATCAATGGTCTTGTAACAGAAAGGGTTTTCTCTCCACCATTTGCTATAAACGATATAAAAATATATATTAGTTTAATCAATTAAAAAATGATTTCTCTTAGTACTCAGATAAGTAATAATTAACTAGATTACTAATAAACTATATGAAAACCTTGGAAAGTGTAACTTTTATGTAAAACTTGTTCAATTTTACAAATTATGCCCAAGTTTATATACTTTCAAAAACATAAACTTCCATCAATAACACATAAAACATCTATACTTACATTTCAAGAGCTAAACAATCCGTTTTCTCTTTCTTGCGTTTCAAAGCAGACAAGTACACCTATATGCTTTGTTCAAATGTTGCAAGTGATAAATTGTGACCACTCCGAGTTTACCAAACAGAACTAATTAGGATGCCCGTTTCCTAGGAAACTGGCCAGTCACTCGCTGTGTATGTGGATTTCAACACTGACCTAATTATCTGAAGCTCTAAAATTCAGCACTGTAAGATTCATGGTGCTAAATATAGAATCTCCAAAATATTTTACATGTGCAGAATAAAACTTCTATACATTATATATATATATATATATATATATATATTTGCAATGGTCTTGGATAATAATTACATATATACATGATATAAGAATCATCAAAAGTACAGCATATGATTTTCATAAATTAGGTTCTGGAATGATGTAAAATTTCGTTTTTAGATTGATAATCAATGCACAAATTGTTATTATTAATTCATCCTTACACATGTTACATAACTTTTTAATTAAATTGAGCTGTCTCTATTTAAAGAAGCTTGAAATAGGTGGTTCTGAAATATACAAATTTAATGTGCGTCATGAACATATCACTTACATGTACCTGTTTGTTAATGAAATTTGTTTTTTCCCCAATGTTCACATTGTTGGACCAACGCTGGGCCAACGTTCAAAGCCCAATCAATGCCTGATTATAATAAAAATTTACTTCATTTTGTCAACATTGGACAGATGATTACATGCTCAACACACATTGGCCATCTTTCATGTCACCATGACTTGGTTGGCGCTATTTTTGGCCAACATTATGAATCTCCAGTCTTTTAAAATATGCCAATATCTACTCGGTTGGACCTACGCTGGGCCAACATTATATTCCCAACATATAGTGGCCACATTTTATGCCAACATTAACTACATTGGGCCAACATTGGACCGATAATTATATGCCCAACACACATTGGCCATGTTTCATGTCAACATTACTTGGTTGGCCCTAAGATGGGCCAACATTAGACATCCCAACACGCAATGGTCTTAATTTATGCCAACGTCTACTCGGTCGGGCCTACGTTGGGCCAACATCGAATTTCCAATATATAGTGGCCACATTTCATGCCAACATTTACTACAATGGGCCATCATTGGCCCAGCATCACATAACCAGCACCGATGGACCGACTTTCATGCCAACATATCATCTGTTGAGCCAACGTTGGACCAACATTAACAGCCCAACACCAACACTATACCAACCTACCAACCATCAACCAACGTTGGCCCGATGTAGTCTTGCTATCTGGGTTAATGACAAACAAGTTGATGAAACAAGAATATCATCAGTCTCGTTTAACGTCATCATTTCTTTAGTTCTTTGGCCGATAGAATGTCCTTGACAGCAAATTTATTATTGACGGACGTTCTTCATATTACTTGTTAAGTCCATTATTTATACATTCAATTGACAACGAATTTTTCAGTAATTTCCCGATGATGAAAGGGAGAACACGGCGGATGTGACCGGTCGGAAAGAGATGCTCACTTCTCCGTGGTAACTGATCCCAACTCTGATGTTTTGTAGGTCCAATTTTATTTTGTTTAAAACACATTTTTAAACACAGAATCTTATGATTTTAAGGCGAGGAAAAAATTATTGTAAATGCTGAGTAAACATAAATCGTATAGAAATGCTGGCACTCATGTTATTATTAAACGTTAAGTGTCAACATCAGCATAAATATCAAAGGTCTGTTAATACTTTAAGTTACTTTGATCTTATCATCATCTGAGACCGTTTTAATGCTTTTTCTTTAGAGTCCTTCCATTTTCTCCATATCATGTATTCATGACCAGACAATTCAGTCTGTGCATACTTTCCATTAAGGTTGGCTTGGTAACAGAAGTTATACCACCAGGCCCCATGCCATGCTCTGGCACAGTTACCAGCACCCCCGTCATTGTCCTGGTCTTTATTGGTAAATTTCATACCATTGTGATCAGCAAACCGTCACCTAGATCATTGCAATGAAAAACACTGAAGTTTACTTATCATTAAGAAAATATCTATGGCGTAATGTAACACTAGTGACCATTGTAGTCATCCGAGTCTAGGTCTTCATGATACATCTTTTAATGAGTCACCCTCTGTTCTCTTTTACAAAATTGAAACTTGTCATATATAAATGTTTTTTGGCCAAAATATCTAAAATATGATTGTTGTGTATACGATGTATATGTAAATTTGAAACTCGATTCCACAATCTTTCTGCAAACCACCTATTCGTGATTTCGACACTCTCCGTGTACTGTAATACGTATATATACGTCACACTCTATGCATTTTCCTTCATTTATTGTCAATATAAATAGGCATTTGGAACGTGGTGGTGATGGGGATAGTGGTCCTCCATGTATCTGTTTTATTTACATTCTAGTTCTCTTCCCTGCTTTTTCTAGCTGTAAGGTCAAGCAATAACAAACTCCACAATTGCACCCCAGACTCACACATTTTCGACAGATTTGATTTTTTGCTTGTTATGTTCTTCATAATCTTTCGGGGAAGTTGACCCTTCCCCTCCTACATTTACTTTTTGAAGCGTTGCTAATATTAACATGTCGATATCGACA